GGTTATAGATTCTAAGACGTATGACAAGAGTATGACGAATAGTTACGCAGAAGTATCACACATGGATACCGAGCTACAGCGGCTTCAGCGCAAAATTGAGCAATTAAAAGTGCGAAACACTATCCTCTCACTTACTCTAGATGAATGTAAAGAGCATTGCGACCATTTGTATCTTCTTTGTGGTAAATATGAATCAAATGCGATTGCTTTACAAACAGCAGTAAATTGCAGTGATCGAGCTATCGAAGCATATGATGTCATGTTGGCACTGTTAGAGAGCAAGTAAGAACATCTTTGTAAAGTAGTTTGTTTTTAAAGCTAATAATAAATTTAACACTTTAGGTTAGCATTGATGACAGAAAAGTCCGTTGGTGCCGAAGAAAGTAGAAGAGCTGTAGAGAAAGTTGCACGGCACCTACTAGATCGGCTCGAAAGTGAAAAGAATACTTGTGAAAATAGCTTGGGACCTTGGCAATCTACGTAATCTATCAGCATATTTGCTAAAAAATTTATTAATCCATTCAATTATATTTATATTTACAGCTTTAGTATTCCGGACAAAGTTTGGACACCATGGACCGCCGATGATGACAACCGCTTGCGCTATCACGTTTCGAAGTTGAAAGGTCGTCGTTCGACTGTGCAAAATACAATTGTCAACTTGGAATCACCATTTAGTGATTTGTATGAAAAATCGCGGAAAGCTCTCGAGTGTGGCAAAGGAATGGTTGAGCAAGTGCATAACGCACAATTTGACCTCGAAATGGCTGTAATTATGCAAGAGTTTTTAAATTTGCGAGAGGAAAATATCAATTTGAAGTCAAAAGTTGAATCTGCGGAGGTAGAAAAACGTCTAGCTACTGAACGTAATAGTTCACTCGAAGAAACATTACAACAGTTGCAGCTGCAGCTACAGATGCAATTACAAATCAGTACAGACGCCAGTAGTGCACTTTTCCATCGCGAACAGATAGCAGAAAATAGGGTGTCTTACTCAGAGTCCGAACATGTTGCGCTCACTGAACAGCAACTAGTCGAAGCGTTAACACGAGAATCCGAACTCAAAAGTCGCATTCAAACTTTGATTTCATCAGTAACCGCATCTCAGCTTAGTGCCGATGAACGCCACATCCAATTGCAGAATAACATTCAAGAGCTGCAAAAATCAAATTTGTAAATGTTGTTATTTTATAATGATTAAAAAAAAAAAGTTTTACATATACATATTTTCTTTTTAAGAAATTTAACACAACTTTTGGAACAAAACAAACGCAGATATCAAGCACGAGTTCGGAGATTAGAACAGAAAATCGTGGAAATGTCCTTCGGGGTGGATCATAAAACTAATGGAGAGAAATTTTATGTCAATGAGAGTTGCATTACTCGTGATAATTTCAGTAAAAGTATTACAGACTGTGAGCGCGTATCACAGCAGCCTCAATGCTTAAAATCAAAAAACTCTGAAGTACTAACATATGAGTCGCAACTAAAAATACAAGAGATCGTGCCTGAGACTACTCTTTAGAATAGTAAATAGCAGAACAATGTTTGCAACAATAATTGCAATTGAGTTCAGTTTCCTGTTATTCTAGCCTACCATACGCCAAATTGAATCTTAAATTTCTACATTAATCTAATCCATTCAAGTGTGCCATTTATCGCGTTAATTTACCGCTTCGCTTAGCTAATCGGGCGCCTATGTGCCAGAATGAATGACAACGTATATGTAATACTTAAAATAAACATACACTTTTCAGCTTCATACATATGTGGCCATGAGAGCCAGAGAGGAGCCTACTTATAAAATAATGTTTGATTAAGATGAGAAAGAAGGATATATAAATAATAATTACGGTATTTTACAGAAAAGTTCACTAAAATGCATTTTAAGTTTTACCTGAATTTTTTAGTTTTTTAAATGTCGGTCTTCTCTGGCTCTCAAGTCCTCATATATAAGTAGGTATCACATTTGATTCCATNTTTTTTTGTAATTAGATACATATTGCTTGTTAAATTATTACTAATGTACAAAATGCGCTGGAATAAATTACTCTAATCGAATTGAAGTTTTTATGAGATAGTTATGAGGTAGGTAACAATATTTAACAAAAATTTTGATATCAAGGGCCAAATTCAATGTATGTACAAAAGTCTTGCTTGTTATAAGAACTACATAAGTATGTATGATGTACATATGTATTTGATTTCAAAGTCCCAGATAGGTTCAAAGCAAGAATGATAGGTTCAAAGATGACGAAATCGTTTTAATAAAAATTGTGGTCGATATGGGATATTTTTATTTTATGCTTCAAAAGCAAATAAAATTATAGTTAAAAAGTTTTTGTAGAAATATAAATTTAAACTGAATAATTTCTCAAATACAAGAGATTAATTTAACAAATATTTATTTTTATAAATTCGGCATACAGTTCTTAAGGGACTTCAGAGCCATAATTCAATTGATTATTATTAATTAATGCATCATGCTTCAGAGATTCATTTATCTATATATAATTTTATTTTGTTAATTTGCACATTTTTATTTTGTATGTTCTCAAAAATATAAAAAAACACACATATGTATACAATATATTATTTATAAAAGTCATAACCTAGGTAAAATTCATTTAAATTTTCTATTTAAAACTTTAAATATTCCACACGCAGATGATGCCGAGCAAAATTGTATTATTGCAATAATAAATAAAAAGTGTGATGTACTTAAAATGTGAATATTTTGAAGCGCACATTGAAGTTTAAATTTGGTCGATTGGATTATAAAAACTTAATTCGCGCCTGAACTCGCAGACTTGACGTGTCTAAAAGGGGTCTTATATTCGGAATCGAATTAGGACCAAATGCATGATGCAATAATACAAGGTGGTATCAGTTGTGACAGCTCGATTTGACAATACCTTAGCTCAGTAGAATAAGAAGAGAAACGGGAAGAAATTAATCCCCATTTGGAGGAAATATTTAAATTTTAATATTTTCTTCTAAACAAAATTTGCTTTTTCATAGTATATTCGTAATGAAATGAAATATAAGATAAAATACATTTTTGAGAATACAAAATGTGTATACTGAGAAATAAAAAATAAATTAAACTATATTATTAGGCGAGAATTGTTGCTGAAGTAACACTGTTTCGCCTAAGCAGTCAATATGGCAGAATTAGAGGGAGAAGTTGCCAACCGATGACACCTTGTATTATTGCATCATGGGACAAATGCACTCCCTGAAGTCTGAGAAATTTTAGAAGGGGCGACATCTACAATTTCGAATGTGAGGAATTTATCGCATATAGTAGCGACATCTACAATCTCGAATGTGAAGAATTTTTCCACCATCTTGTGCTTCCGCCCAAGTGCTGTCTTTTTCGGTCCCCTGTTGTTCGGTGGAGGACGATTTTTCCTTTTCTGACAGGATTATACGCGATTTTCTTTATAAATAATTAGCAAAAATGGTGAGTTCATATACGAAAACGTGCAGCATATCATACTTAGTTAATTTGTGAATGTAAAGTTGTAAAAAACAATCTTGATTGGATTCATGTGGTACACGTGTTTAGATGTGGCAATTGAGCGGCGCACTTTTTCTCAGCAATTAATAATTTTGTGTTTGTTCTTATTTTGTGTTCGCAGAGTTTAGCAAACGCAAGACCTTTGGTCTCCGTCTACTCGGACAAAAATGAGCAAGTAAAGGATAAGAACATCTGCTTACCAACAGTTTTCAAAGCTCCAATTCGCCCGGATATTGTGAATGAAGTTCATCAGCTAATCCGTCGCAACAGCCGTCAACCCTATGCCGTTAGTGAGCAAGCAGGTGTGTTAATTAATTCTGGTATTGATGTGAAATTTTATATAAAGTTTGTTGTTTTCAACAGGTCATCAAACGTCTGCTGAATCTTGGGGTACCGGTCGTGCTGTCGCTCGTATTCCTCGTGTTCGTGGTGGTGGTACTCATCGTTCCGGCCAGGGTGCTTTCGGTAACATGTGTCGTGGTGGTCGTATGTTTGCCCCAACTAAGACTTTCCGTCGCTGGCACCGCAAGGTCAATGTCAACCAGCGCCGTTACGCTATTGTCTCGGCTATTGCTGCATCCGGAGTTCCAGCTCTTGTCCAATCTAAGGGCCACATCATCGACGGTGTTTCGGAATTCCCCTTAGTTGTGTCGGATGAAGTACAGAAGCTACAAAAAACCAAGCAAGCCGTTGTATTCTTGAGACGTATGAAAATCTGGGCAGACATCCAAAAAGTAAGTCAAGTTAAAACAACTAATGTGAAAGTGGCAGTATTCCGTGCAAATGCAAATGTAGCTAGTTAGTTTGTGTTCGCTGGACTTTTATTTATGTTAGTACTGCTAGAGTAAATAGTTTTCATAGGCGTTCTGGCATAAGCAATAGATGCTTTTCAGTCGGGGTATTTGAAAAGTACATTTATTTAAAAGAAAAAAATTGCAACTTTGAATTAGGCCTATGTAGTATGTAACTCTTATTTTGTTAT